CTTCCAGAACGCGGCCGACCCCGCCGCCGCCGCCCCAGCCCCCGCCCCCGCAGCCGCCGCCCCAGCACCCGCGGCCGCGGCCCCCGCGCCGTATGGCGCGACTCCGTACGGCGCGCCGCAGGCGCAGGCGGGCGGCGGCTTTGCGGCCGGCGGGCTGAGCGGCGCGCAGCAGGGGGCGCTGCAGGGGCTGCTGCAGGGGCTCCAGTCTCACCTCGGCGGCGGGGGCGGCGCGCAGCCGGCGCAGGCGGCACCCCAGGCGCAGCCGCAGGGGGGCTACGGCGGCGGGTACGACTACCAGCAGGCGCCGCCGCCGCAGCAGCAGCAACAGCAGCAGTACGCCGCCCCCCAGGTGCGCGGCCCGCGCTGCCGCGCGTGCTGCTGTGCTGCCCTTGTGCGCGCATGCCGCTTCAACCGGCGGCTCGTCGGCCTCGGCACATTGTGCGTCCGCACCTCGTGCCTGCCCCCGTCTCGCCCTGCCGCCAGCCGCCGCTTGCGACCCGCCCCCTGCCCCCCCTCCCCCCGTTCCCTGTGCCCCGCAGGCTGCGCCGCCCGGCTCGTACGGTCAGCCACAATACGGGCAGGCGCCCTCGCAGTACGGCCCGCCCTATTGAGCTGCCAGCTTTCACTCCACAAACGGCTATGGGCACGTGCGGCCCGCAGGCGCCATCACACGAGCACTCTGGGGCAGGATGTGCGGCACCGGCCGGGCGCCCAGTGCGGCCCCACCATGCGAGGCGACAGGCGCCGGCAGCCCCACTCAGTGGACCGACCATGATCACCAGGAGGGGGGGCAGTACGGTTGGAATGTGCCTCCACGGCGCAGGCAGGACGGCGGCTCTCCCTTGTAACCCTGCCACGGCGCCAGGATGTGTGTGTTTGTGTCCAGCCGGCCTCCCTGCCTTCACATCAGATCATGTAGCATGCATCTGCACTGCGGGGCGTCGCCTTTGCATCACCCTGTCTTGGCGTGATGGCCCGACGGCCGTCGCGCCCGCCCCCAAGCGTGACAGAGGCAGGTAAGCATGCGAGTCTTCCGCAAACACAGCACGCCAAGCGCCCACATGCACATAGGCGCCAAGCAACACCTCGCCAACAAGCTGTCGAGCCTCCGGCTGTGCTGTGTGCGTTTTATATGAAACAAGAAACATGCGCAAGGTAGGGTGGTAACACTAGCCTTGGGTCGTTTGTCTTGGTCACAATTGTCCAGATCAGTTCGACCCCACCCGCCGCAGTGACCAACCATCCAGAAGGAGTAGAGGGCACCAGAGCGGTCGTCGCCTTTGACGTGACGACGCTGAAAAGACACAATGGTGTCGCGCCATACTTTGTCCGGTACCGAAACCTGACCGAATACTCTGCCCGCTGCCCTGTTGCCGAGCTGTAAGCTGGCGGTCAATGGCAGTCCAGGCCCAGTCCGCCGCCAGTCCATTCCTCAACCAGTGGCCACAGGCCGGCCGCTGGCCACAGGCCGGCCAGCCGCGCCTCGCATCTCTCC